AGTATAGATATGAGATTCTGATCTTGTGGATGATTTCGGAAGTGGAAATGTGGTTCTATGGTTTTTGGGCTGGATTGGATTGTGAAATTCCAGTATCTATGTGTTATCGGACCTATAGGAGATAGGGTGACGTGGGATCAACCCCGGCTATGTGCATGGTAAGGTTATTCAGTAATTGGTTGGCTTTTGGAACAACTCTGGGCACGTTCGAGGACGAACGTATGTTTAAGTGGGGGAGGATGTAACGACCCGACCGGTCGTTTTGAGTTTTTTGCACTTTGCTCGCCAGTTCTCGGGCATGACTTGCCCCGTGTAGTATATTATGACTTATGTAAACCGTTGGTTTTGGTTTTTAGGGTAATCGGAATGAATTTGGAAGAACAGTTCTCAGTTTGAAGCTTGAAACTTGAAAGGTTTGACCAAGATTTGACTTGTTTGTATATGATCTCGGATCGGAAATTTTATGATTTGGTTAGCTCCGTTAGGTGATTTGGGACTTAGGAGCGTGATCGGAATGCATTTTGGAAGTCCGTGGAAGGTTTAAGCTTGAATTGGCGAGATTAAGATTTCGGCGTTTTCCGGTTGATAGGTGAGATTTTGATATAGAGGTCGGAATGAAATTCCGAGAGTTGCAGTAGCTTCGTTATGTGATTTGGGATGTGTGTGCAAAATTTCAGGTCATTCGGACGTGGTTTGGTTGGGTTTTTTATCAAAAGCGTATTTCGGAAGATTTTTAGAAACTTAGGCTTGAATCCGATGTGTTTTGGATGATTTGATGTTGTTTGAGGTGTTTTGATGATTGGAACAAGTTTGAATAAGGTTTTAGGATGTGTTGGTGCCTTTGGTTGAGGTCCTGGGGGCCTCGGGTGAGTTTCGGGTGGTCAATCGGATCATTTTGGAGTCTAGAAAATTGCAGAAGTTGCAGGTTCAGCTGTTGCAGGGTTTTACTCTTCGCGTTCCCGAGTGGAACCTCGCGTTCGCGAAGAGTCAGTGGTCGTCAGTGGGATTTTGGCCTTCGCGTTCGCGAGGGGGAGCCACGCGTTCGCGAAGGTTTGCGATTTGAGGCGTCGCGTTCGCGGAATGTAAGGCGCGTTCGCGTAGGGGAAAAGCTGGTCAAAGTAAGTTTGTGCTTCGCGAACGCGAGGGTTTGACCGCGTTCGCAAAGAAGGAAAGTCAGGCCTGGGCAGAATGTTTTTAAACTCGTCTTGTTCGCGAATGTGGGTCTATTGTCACCCATAGCTGCTCGTTTTTGGAGATATTTGAAGGAGGTTGAAGAGGGATTCAAGATGGATCGTTGGGAGGTAAGATTCTCGGACTAAAAACTCGATTATTATGTGAATTTCACCTTGAAAATCATGGAAACTAAGCCAAAAATTGAAGTACTAGGGCTTGAGAAATTGGACTTTTGATTTGGGAATTGAAGGACAATTGGGGTCGGATTTGAGCACTTTTGAAATGTATGAACTCGTGAGGAGGTAAGGAATCTATTGATGTGAAAATTTCTGAATTTCGAGAAGTGGGCCCGGGGCTCGGGTTTTGGTAATTTCGGGATTTGTGCCCTTTATTGATTGTTTTCGCTTGGGCTTTGTTCTCTTAGCATATTTTGACGTCCTCGTTCTGNCAAATGCGGCTTAGGCTGGATAAGTGATTTCCACAGAAGCGGAGGATTTAACCGCAAATGCGGTACCGCAGAAGCGGGTTTTGGACCGCAGATGCAGGTGTCCCTGGGCAGAATGTATGTAACTCTTCCTTCGCAATTTTTGAAGGTTTTCACCATTTTTAAACACGGATTCGGGAGCTTTGGGCGATTTTGGAGAGAGAAATCAAGGAGAAATCGTTAAGGTAAGGATTTTGGACCTAAAACACATTTCTATGGTAGTATTTCATGGATTAAGGCTGTAATTTAAGGAATTAAAAGGCAAAAAATGCAGGATTAGGGCTTGAGTTTAAGAGGCCTTTAAATGAGGATTTGAGGGGTCATTTGGACTCCGATTTTAGTATTCTTAATATGTATGTACTCGTGGGGAGATAAGGGATCTATTGGTGTGAAAATTTCTGAATTTTGAGACGTGGGCCCGGGGGTCTGGTTTTGGTAATTTTGGGATTTGTGCCCTTTATTGATTGTTTTCGCTTGGGCTTTGTTCTCTTAGCATATTTTGACGTTCTCGTTCTGATTTTGGATAGATTCGACGCGCGTGGAGGCCGATTCGAGGGGCAAAGGCTCGAGCTAGAGATTTAGCCGGTTCGAGGTGAGTAATGATTGTAAATGATGTTCTGAGGGTTTGAAACCCCGGATTGCACATCGTAGTGCTATGTTGAGGTGAGACACACGCTTG